AACAAAATAAAACTCCACAAACAGACCGTCCACCACTCATCAGAGTAAACATGCTCTGGGTTGCCTTCTCTGCAACCCACCTCCAAACATTTCCCAGCTGTTGCCTTATTGCAACATTCGTCAGAGTGACACAGTCCTAACTAATCATCCACAAGGAACCAACACCGTCCCTTTTGATCCCATGGCCCCTCCCACAGGCTCACCGTCCACAGGTGACAAATCAACTCAAACCACATTTCTACATAAAAAATCCGACTCAAACATAAACAGGTTAACCACCACTCATAATAACTCATAATCATTTAACAAATTAACAAACGCACACTAAATAATAAATGTCATGGTTCCTTTTGACGGAAGAGAGCAGGAAATGTGTGGTGTGTGCGTGTGTGCGTGTGTGTGTGTGTGTGTGGGGGGGGGGCTGTCAGTGGCGGAGTCAGTCACTCTGTGACCCGCTCCGTCACAGGGCCTCTTTCATAAAAACAACTTTGGGGATGTCTGATTTTCTTTAGCTGAGATATTTCTAAAGAAAGCAATGCACCTGGTTCTTTGAGAGTTGCCCGCGGGCTTCATATGTCCAGGAGGAATTGAGCATGAGGCTGTTGAGAATAACGCCTGACGCTGTGACGATTCTGCTCCCGAATGGCGTGCTCAAAGAACTGTAAGATCACAAAGACAAGAGATAAGATGAAAGAATGTCCACGTGCCCAGCAGCACATACCACACCTATCCTCCTGTAATCGCTTATGTCACGCTGCAGGTCGCAACAATCACCTTGTGACCGTCACCATCAGGTCGTCGGGTCCCATGACTGCAACTTGTCCAGCCATTCGCTCTGTCTGCAGGGAGGGGATGGAGTCGGGGGCAGAGGTATGGGATGAATTGATCCTATGGTGAAGCACCTCTGCTTGATTCTTACTTTTGCAAGAGCAGAGAGGAATTAAAAGGATGTTAGCTGCTTTGGAACTGATTTGTTTTTGCAGAACAGTGGCTATCAATTAAGTCAGAAGATAAGTAACAGTTAAATATGAAAATAAGGATTCATGACGACAGAAAACACATTTTGCTCTAACTTTTACTCTTGGAACTTGAGGATTTTATGTTTTTCCTTGTCATGTGTTGAAATGTGCCATTTAAATGAACTTGCCCCGCTTCATTTGTTTTTAAATAAAATAAAACAATACATTTGGCATGGGCCCGAGGTTTATCGTGAAATGTACACGTTTCATAGACTAAATAAACCATCAAATTATGAAGAAAATATTGTTATTGATTATTATTGATTGAATTGTCACAGTTGTTCGTCCTTAATGTAGTTTACCTCAGCATGTCAGACAGCAGCTGAGTCACTGAAGAGTTATATTTAGGGTCTCCCAAACCACTGGCCAAAGCTTCTTTCAGAGCCTTAAAAAGGGAGAAATAAATCATTCTTATGAAGGCGATTTACCATCAAAACGGCTGGTATGTTAAATAAACAACAACATTGTGATATTTAAGCTTGGCAATGCAGTACCTCAGCAACCCAGTGGTGCGTTTGATTTTCAGTGTTATTGTTCTCGTTGAGGTGGAGGCCCTCCAAAATGTTGAGTGCTGATATCAACGCTGCACCAGCAGGTTGAGGAGGAACTTGAATAATGAATTCTAAGACAAGAGTAACACAACATAGAAAAGGGTATCAAAAATAATAAAAAAATATATTAAAGAATATTATTGATGAATATTACCATTGTACAGGCCTTCCCGTGGCTGCTCAACTTGTACGCTGTAAGCACTAATGTCCTCTCTGCTCAGGACCCCTCCATTAGCTCGCACCTTTGAATGAGAACATAACAAAATAACAGTATCATTTTAACTGTTGAAGAGACCCAATCATGCTTTTTTGGGGATTCCGTTTCCTGTACTGTGTATAGGTTTGTGTGCATGTAAATGGTCTCAAAAGGCTAAAATCCCAAAGTTTCTCTCCAACATTTGCCCCCCCCCCCTGACTAAAACACCTCCATTGGACTCCTTTGTGTCATGATGATGTCCCCATATAACACTCATGCTTCTATTGGGTAGCGCTCCAACATAATTGTAATGATAGCCTAAGATTGGACTGTCTCTAAGAAGTTGACCAATCACAACAGAGCTGGCCAGCAAACCAATCAGAGCAGACTGGGCTCTGGTTTCAGACAGAGGGGGGAAAAAGGCAGTATGAGTTAAAAATAAAGGCCTTTTTGAACATTAAAGCATGGATATAGTTAACGTAGACTAGAGACACAGGATACTAATAAGAACTTGAGAATGAGCAGAATATGTCCTCTTACAACTCAAATGAAAAGCAAATGACAAACTATAATTTTGACACATTTCACACCATTCACCTCATCCTCTATCTCTTTTGAGACGTTTCCATCATAGAAGTTAGACAGACCAGCCTCTAGAACTCCAGCCAGACTGGACATCATCAGAAATGAACCAGGACGCAGAGCTTGGCCATCGGGGAAGAACAAGTCCCTGAAACGTTGTGACACCCTCTGACCTTTTACCTTTGATATAGCCTCAGCTGTAGAATAACACAAATGAGTCACATCCTGGTATCACATCCTGAGGCGACATCATCATCTTATAATGTGGTAAAGTGACATTGTATTTTGATTTTACTCACCAAGACTGAAAGACACATTGAAACCTTCTTTGGCCACAGCAGCAGCTCTGGCGACCACATCCTCCCATTGCAGACTGCACAGATTTTGTGGTGAGACATTTAACTTAAGGATATAAATAAATAGACTAAGCATCAGATCATTTTCACTTTGAGTGAACTCTTACCTCCCGTACAAGCTGTGAGCGTGGTGTAACCCTCTGAGCATTCCTGGCACCCCCACCTGCAGACCGGCCTGCATGGATGGAGTAGATTATTACAGATTGTCTAATAACCAATTTTTTACAAGACTGATACAAAGTATTTTATTTCCAGTGTTTAGGACTTCAGACTCAGTTGAGAATAAGGTTTGCCTAGTTTTTTTTCCAAAGAAAGAAAGGGTTTTTTGTAAATTGTACGTGTTGTCGGCAACCGTATAAAATGTGAAATTAATGTCATCAAATTTTAGCACAATATTATATCTTAAACTCAGAAAAAATTATCTTATTTGCAGACATTTTACTTGTGCATAGAATGTTTGAAGGTCTGCCCCACCAAAATCCCTCAACCAGAGCTACTACCAGTGGGGATATTGTAAAAATGCACCTTCTATGGCTAAATATGGTACATTTACATGATGGAGTGTGCTCCTGTTAATCCATGTGCATTGTCCCATTTTTAGTAAATAAATACAAAATAAAAATAATCTTTCCACAGGACGCTGAAGAGCACCACCATATTTTAAATAGGACTAAAAGCATTCAGGCTTTTTCATGAAGGCAGATTAGCACCAATTAAAATACATGACAAAAGTGTTACACAACTTGCTGATACACAATATATGTAACTGTTAAGAGTGCATGGATACATGCAAACTCACCTTAAGGTTTTCAGTCCTATTTTGAACATGGAGTTGTGGTGAACTTTGACCTCTTCTGGTCCAAATGAGAATTACAACAACACACTAAACTTATTTACAGATAAACAAAAAGGGACATTAAAATATTATCCTGGCAAAACCTTTTTTCTCATCTGTTCTTATGTCGTTAATCCAGAAGATAAAACAGTTTACAGAAGATCCGATTTTTATTTTTTCTAATTCTTACTTTTCTTTCAGGGATTTTTGTAAATACTTGCGAAATCACCTTTACTTCTGAAACATGTTGCAGCATCTCCTCTTTCAGGGTTTTAGGTGCAGATCCCTGGAAATCAATCACCCTGGTTTTATTCTTCCGGATGTCATGAACCAGCATCACACCACCTCTACAGAACAAGGATGAATTTGTGATCAAAATACATTGATGTACATTTTAAACTATGCATAACAAACATCAGGTGAATCACATACCCACCAACCCCTGACACATGTGGATGCACAACACCCAGACACAGGGCGGCAGTGATGGCAGCGTCGACACTGGACCCCCCATCACGGAGGACTCTGTGTCCGAAGGCAGAGCAGAGCTCATGATCCGACACCACAGCGCCTTTTACTAACACCTGGGGAATAATGAGAACAAATAACTTGTGGTTACAATCGTTAGTGCACATATTTGATTTGATTATTCTGATTATGTTGTCATAGTATACTGTACGCAGTTTTGGGGTATATTTATTCATGTAAATAGTTTTCTTTATCTTAATAGTTTTTTTTACAATTGCTTTTATTTATATATATATATATATATATGTTAAATGTAT